GCATATCGGATATCGGCCAAAATCCCAATATCGTGCATCCCTATATCTTACGTAAAGCCATTTATACGGTTAGTATAAAGAGGTTTTTCTCATGTCGTCTAATTACCTTTCCATTTGGTCCTGGACCACCCTGATCTCCCTTAAGCTGGGTAGCTCATCTTGCTCTGCTGTTGGTGACGGGACCTCCACATCATGCAGCAGACTGAGGGCATATTGTCTCAACAGCATGAGTGAGGAGAGCTCTCTCTCCAGGTCCTGACTCAGTAAATCATGCTGGTCCAACAAAGACTGCAGAGTGGCTTTGGAAGCCTTCTCCACAGCGCTGTCTGGGAAGCGACTCTGGAGCTCATCACAGACGCCTCTGACTTTCACCATCTACAAAAACATGTTAAAAAGTTTATCACAATGCTTTGCTTTCAGTCTAAAGCAGAAAATACATGTATGCATTTAAGGAGTCTATTTGCCTTTTCTCTGAAAGTCCTCCACTCCTGTGCTGTGTCCTCAAGCACTCTTTCCTGTCCCCTCGCCACGCTGCGTAGCCGTGTCCAGCGCTGCCACACGGTGGTCATGGAGCGACTTATGGTGGCCTTGCTGGCGTCGCTGCCCACCAGTTCCAGCTGAGCCGCTTGTTCCTCTAAACCACTGAGCTTCTCTTGAAACCCGTTCACGAGAGATACGAGGGACTAAAAACATGAAAAGAGGAGCAATAAAACATCTAGTGCCCTAAAACAAAAAACTTTAATGTATTACAAGTTTATTTAATAGCCCTATACTAATAATTATTTATACATTTACCTTTAAAAATCCCAGTATTACACAAACATTCATAACACACTTTACAGATTTCAAAAACCTTGATCCTTTTCTTTCTAAATTATATCACGATGCCACTTAACGTGGGTCAGTCTTTGGTAATTCCAATCAAACATACTAAAGTTGAAGTATTACTTTGCAATGTGAACCAATTTAAGTGATATAAATACCATTGCAATGCACAAAAACACGTACCCTGTGAGTACATAGCTTGTCTTCAGCCTCCTGGTTGGTGGCTGCCTTTGCTGTTGAAAATTCGGTCAGCTTCTTTTCAGCCTCGTTCATTAACTCGATGACAGTCTGTCTTGCTTCTTGGAATAACTTCCACTGCGTCACACAACTGGGAAAATCAAAAGTTATTAGACACAGCAGATTATTTTTCTATATTTTGGGACCATCCTTGTTTTTCTACATTAGCCAGATGGCTTTAAAACAATGATAAGGGAGGTAGAGATGCAAATTTTATTTATACTTAGAGTTAATCTTTCTAGGAAACCTGCTTTTTATAGCTAAACAAGCAGGTAGATACAGAATGTATTGGCAGGAAGCAAGGGAGTAACTTTGTGATAAAAGTTGGTGGTGACACTTGGGTGGTGGCTCATAGATCTACTGTTACACTTACATTAGGCTAATTTTCCAAAAATGAGCTCCAACATAATAGTTATTGAATGCTTTCCTATTTTTGAGAACCCAAGGGAACCATAATATACTGACATTTGTATTTATAGGTAGTAAGAGAGACCTTTTAGTGCATTACAAATAGGGCCCAAAAACATCAATGCAAGAAAAAAAATCATGAATAAGAGCCGATTCCAATGCCACAATTGATATATCAAGCATCCCTAGAAGTACAATTTCAATTCCATCCAGAAAAAGATGGATATGCTGCATTTTGATTTTTTTTTTTCTTGTAAACTTTCTGTTAAACTTGAAGATATATTTGATTGCGTGTTGCATATCCCAGTAAATCTGTTTCACCTTTAAATCTGCAGCACTACCTTATTCTCTCTGTTTAAAAAGATTTATGAACCTCTTTAATAATATAATGATGCCAGAAACTAAAGTTCAAGACATGTAGAAGCTCTGCAGTCTGATTCTGTTTGTTCAATAAGAAAATATGTTCACTTTAACCTGTAACTGGGAGTCATGGTCCTCTAAGAAGCCCAGACTAGTAAAGAAGAACAAACATTTTTCTCAAGCTTCTTGCCTTATAATACCAACTGGTTTAAACCGTTGCCATTTTTAGCTGGAAAAGCTCCGTATATAACAAAAAGATTTTTTTGGTAGCATCTGTATTTTTTTTAACCAACTTGTCACCTAACTTTTACTGAAACATCTATCGAAGTAGCTGCCGGTTAAAATTCACTGAGTGCTGCTGTGTCTCTCCTCCTCCACGTAGCTAACTCTGTACGTGTCAGAAAGCGGTGTTTGTTTGGAGGACCCGAATGCAGAGACGAGTTGGCTGAGATGAATTTAAGTGGTTTAATAAAGGTTCACAGGCACAGAGGCTGGAGGTTCACAGGTGAAGGCAGGAGTCAAAAAAAACAACAAAATAACTCATGAACCAGAATCTAGGAGACATCAGGGGAAAACCAAAATCTAAGGACCAGGAAGAGACGAGGAAGGCAGACAGACGATTGACCAGAGGTTAGAATAGAAGTAAGACGAGGATCCAGCAAACAGAAACTGAAGAGGGAGGGCTTTTAAAGGGGACAGAGACAGGAAGAGGGCTAATGAGGGAATTGAAAACAGGTGAGGGCTGAACAGAAAACGGAGCAAGAGAAAGAGGACACAAGAGGGCAGCAGAGGACAACAAATGGAGAACCAGGAAGACAGGAACTAATAAGAAAACAACAACAAAATAATTATCAAATAACTAGGATAAAGAAACATGGTGAAAAGAAAACTAAACACTAGAAATCAAGGAGCAAAAGAAAAATATAACAGAAACAGAAACCTAACAGTACTCAGTGAAATGCGAAGCCCAAATAATATCATGTGCCAAAGCGACAGATCCGACGATATTTCACTGAGAGGTGGGACTCAAGAGCAGCAGGAGAGCGAGAAAAAACACAGACTGAAAACACTCTGAACACAGACAGCTGCACCCAAACCCAGTTACTAAATACATAAGCGGAAAGGGGAATAAATTCAGAAATTATTGCTCAAAGTTGGTGGGGACATGTCCACACCAGTCCTTCAGGAAGTTATGCCAGTGGCAGGAAGTAAACAGGGATTAACCAGAAAAAGGTAAACATAGGGGAATGCTGGTGAAGATTCTCAGCCATCCAGGAAATAGTCATTTCAAAAAACAAAACAATCCACTGGACTTTGCTGAAGCTTGAAGGCATTTTGCTTCCCATCCAGGATTTTTTTTTAAATTCAAAATGTCAGAAAAAGTGTTGAGTTTAAGGCTTTATAGAGCGGACCAAAAACAAAGCCTTGTTTTGGCTTCGAAAACATGCAAATTGAACTGATTTAACAGGATATCATAGAGTAAAATAGAATAGAAAAATCCTTTGTTGTTCTACTTTTTGGGGAATTCAGATGTTTTAGCAAGAACCCAAAAAGGCAAATGGAAGCAAACCAGTTTGAACATCTCAAAGAAAAGCTACAAGACTGTCAAAACAGATGTGCAAAATAAAAGAGATACTTTGCAGTTACCAAAACAACATACTCTGATTAAGTAAATGTAACTGTGCATAAGGTGTGCATTGCACTGTGACTGCAAAATCACAAAATGTGGATCTCTGAGCATGAAGAAAAGAACAACTAATTACATGCAGGAAAAAAGGATGAAACATGAAGCAGATGGAAAATATTTGACCATGCTTAAACCTGATGGCCAAAACCTGTTTTTCTTCTCCACATTGTTTTTTCTACACCTATTCATGGAGCCTTTAACTCAACCAACAGTTTTTTTTAAAATAATAATCCCACCTGTGTAGGACATCATGGTGACACTGGAGCTGATCTCGAACCTCTACTCCTCTCTGCTTCGCCGACTCCACGCTCACTCTCAGCTGCTCCTTAGCTGTGGGGTTCACCAGCTTCTCAAGCTGAGGAAGGAGGGTCTGCAGCTCCTCCAGATGGATGAGAAACTCCTGCTCTGTCGACAGGATGTCCGCCTGCTGCCTCAGACACTCCTCATAGTTCTCTACGTCGACTCCCAAGCTTGCTTGCTGAAGGAAAGAGACAGCGTCCTCCAGCCATTCACAGGCCGACTGCATCCTGAAGTGGTACTTCTGACACAGCACCAGGGCTTCCTCCAAAGTAATCTTTAAATAAAACCAAACAGATTTTATTCAGTAAAACCAAGTCAAACAACTTGATATCTGCGTTACATTTCAGTGGGATATGAAGGCCTGATGCTGTAGTAATGTTATTCTTTAGCAACAACTTACGTCGGATTTGAGTAGCATACATAATCTCATGATTCGCTAAGTCAGGCTGACAAACAATATTTCATACTGCATCATCAGTGTCATAGCTGAGGCCATGTGTCACGTCTAGACATGCAATGCATCAGTGACTCAAACATCCTATCAATTTCCTCATAAAATTACTGAATTCAGTCATTTATATTAGCTGAGTTTTACCCAGGAAATAACTGAAAGGCTGAATATTCTCCTGAAATGTGCTGGTAATAAACCATTCATTTTTTTGAAGTGTGTCAAAGAAAGAACATCAGCAGAACATTTATCCTTGAGGATCAATCATGGATATATATATAATTACCAGCAGTAGGGATGCACGATATTGGGATTTTAGCCAATATCCGATATGCCGATATTTTAAAACTCATGTAGCCGATAACCGATATC